CACTTGTTATGTGAAATTATTTACTGAACAATTCTTTTAAGTTGTTTGTGAATTTAAATTGTAGAAAGTTGGTATGCTTTTGATTTGACAAAGATGTTCCACTGAGCCTGCTCTGGTGAGCTGATTGGAGGGATGCCTCCTTCTCTGGACTTGATCTGCCTGCACCAGGCTCTGTGCAGGTTTGAGTCCTAGTCCAGTGGGGCAGCTTCCTAGAAAGGAGCTAAATCAGCATTTTTGGCACCAAGTCCAAATTCCTGACCATGTTGTTTCTTAATGTTTTCCAACCCAGGGAGAAAAAAAAAAAAAAGCTCTTTTAACATTTCATGAGTGACTCCAAAAGCCTCCTGCCCAAAAGATTATTTTCCAGTCATTTCATCTGCTCTGACAGAAGTCTATTCCCCCTTTCCCCAGCCTATGCCTTCCTGAAGTCTTTCAGCCTTTGCAGGCACAGCCACACCTTCCCTGGTTGCTCTGTTCTTCCTCAGCCACCCTTTACTCCTACCACAGACAATTGTTTGGGGATGTTTCTGAGACCCTTAAGGTGCCAGAAGCTGGATGAAGCTGGATGTAGGAGTTGCTGAATGTATTGGTCTGATGATCCTGGAAAAAAGCATTTGAATAAAAAGTTTTTCCTCCCTGTCAACTGAACTGAAGTTGTTCCTTCCCTTATGGTACAGTACGAGGAGAAGAGGCTGTTAGCGGAGGCTCCAACCATGTGGCTAGCCCACGTGCCAGGTGGCTATTTTGTCACTGTGCCATCAGCATCTGAGTCCCCTTCCCCTTAAAACAAGAACAGTTGTGCCCATGCTGGCCTGGGGGTACATCCAATTTTCATCAGTTGCAGTGAGGGGTAGAGAGGTTTTCCTGTGTACACACTATTAACGATCTGTCTGCAGAACATGCCAGTTGCTTCCCTTTGCGTAGGATGGTAAGAGATCAATTAGAGCAAGAAAGTTCACAGCCCACTTAAGAAGCAATATTCCCCTTTTATCTCATCTCCTTCTCAGATTTCTACCCTTTTACAGCTGTGTGGCTGGTGTGCTAAATGCTAATGCGAAAATACTTTATCCAGTGCCAAGCAGACATTCTTGTGGAAATGAGTTCTCCCTTCTCACATTTGCCTCCTGCTTTCTCACCTCTCTACCCTGTTGATCAGATCGTCCCTTGGTATTTAGGGACAATCCTTTCCGTACTTGGATGGCTGCCCAAGCTGAAAGCTTGATGCTTTACCTGCTTAGTTCATAGCAGGTTTGCCAAGTTTCCTTTATTTTTACAGGCAGGAAAGGAATTAAATTGAAATAGTCGAGTTTTTGATCACAAAAAGAGGTAAGTGTTCGTTATTGGATCAGCAACTGAAATGGCTGAATAGACTTTGCTGGATAAAATATTCAGCATTTTTTTCCCTTTCAGTCATTCACATTTGTTTGTGATTTCCCTCTGCCCTTTTAAACTTGCTCTTCTCAGTGATTATTAGTCTAATTGTATCTAGTCTACTTAGGTTCTTATATTAAGCTCATCACTGTGGTGTCTGAACATCAGATCAATGCCATGTAATTACAGTCACACAGAGCACAATCAACAATTATCAGTGATCACTTTTCAGATCTTGCAACAAAGAAATGTTATCTGAGACATTGCTGCAGGATTTCAGATTTCCAAATATTTGCTCTTCTAATTAAGCAGATGGAAGACCTGCTGATAATGAGAAAGCAGGTCTTAGAACTTCTTCCATAGCTAATTTCTGCCCAGACCAAAATAAATTATGCTGCAACAATTCTTTTCCAAGGTAAATAACACAACACGCCACTTGGCAAAGTGCCCAAGAACAACAAAAAACCCAAAGACGTGTTTAAAGGTATTGCACTCAGTGGGAGACTTTCACACCACAGTAATAAATGCAACACAGCAAAAACCTACAGCTAACAGAAGGGAATGCCTTCTTATCTAACTGCTCTGGAGGATATTTGCTGATCAATCCTATGAAAGGATGATATGCTTCTGTGTGTGTCCAGGGGATGAAATAACAAGCCTGAAGGCAATAATGCTCTCATATCATGTTTGAGAATTTTACAAATACAGCATGAGGCTCTGTGACTCAGTCTGAATGGAATTTTTCTTAGCACATGAATTTTACATGATATTTCAGTACTTGTTCTTTTGGGCAGCTTTCCTAACACAGTGAGATGTTAGTTTTTAGGTGCTTTTTTATCATATTGGTAAATACCATGACACATTTTTTGAAATGTGTGAGGAAGGCTAACAAACCTGAAAATTTGAAAATTACAAGGATATTTGGTTTGTCTCATTTTTACCTCTACAAACTTTCCTGATTTTTCTTTCTTGGAAGGTAGAAAGTATCAAAGAAAAACAACAACAACAACAAAACAGTTTAGTACATTCTTCATATGTTTTTTGTTTTTTTTTGTTTTGTTTTTATGATCTCACCTTAGTCTTCAAATTATGCCTCTGGTTAAACAGATATCCTCATATTCCAGATTAACTAAAAAATATCAAATAGATAGGTAGCTTTTTTGCTTTTTAGCAATAACAGAAATCCATTTCTTTTTGTTGTTTTCAGATCTCTAAAAGCAACAATTCTTGTAATTATCAAATTTCCATATAGAAAACTGGTATGCATGTGGGGGTGTAATAGCACAATCTGATATTCCTGTAGCACCAGTTTTCTATAAATAGGGAAATCTGTTATTTATCACTGGAACTATTCATTAAAATAAAAAAATATATATATACAGTATGGGCATCTGTTCCTAGATCTTTAGTTGATTGACAGTTTTTAATCCATTTAGTTAATGCTAAGTGGAACTTGCTGGAATCGTAGCCTTTTCAAGGAATCTTTTCAACTTAGTTCTGATGTGTTCGTATGCCCTTTCTCATGATCTTTGGAATTTTATCAATGTAGTTATTTATTTATTTATTTTAAAGCTTTACTCATAGAGTCGGGTGAGTACATGTAAACTGAAGCACTTTGTTTTTAAAAAGTGTTTTTTATTTTATAGAAGAAAGTTGTAAATGTGATTCTGTTAAGGAATGAAAAGAATCTAAAACAAAGAATATAAAAAATATTATTTTTTTTTCCTATTTGCATGATATTGTGGAGTCTGGCAAAAGGTTTTTGAATATTTGGATTTTGTACCAAGTTTAACAATATGGTATTTTTTATACCTGCAGTACTGTTGAGATTGTACTGACCTTTGCCATAGCATTACATATTATTAGCTCTTTATGATAGGGGCTACAAGGGGGCTATATCACTTCAGCATGTTTACTGCACTTTTATTTTAAGCATAAACCATCCACTGTTACTGATGGAGGTAGCTAAGGACAATGTGTATAGGGCACCTATGTGTTAGCATTTGTGTTTTACATCCAAGTCTTAAATCCTCATCTTAACATTTTGTCAAGGATTTTCATTGCTGCTGTCTCAATACAATAGCCAACACTTCAGCAGTGGAGCAGCACTTACATTGTAGACAAATCCAGGTGAATACTGGCAAATATTATAGAATATTTTTGTATCTTGATACTTTTAAGGCTTTCATCCTGAATTTGTCCTTTTGATTTCTCAGATGAAAGATTTTAAATCTGCCTGGCTTTAATGTCTGTATTCGCTGGTGTGAATTGGCAGACAGACTGGGAGAGATTTTGTCCCTTCACCTCTCCCCTGATGATTTACGTGGATAGGGGGGTTGATCACTTTCTGTTGTCAGCATTTGTTTTCTTTTCTACTTGAGGCATATCTTAAGTGTAGAGTAATAAATAACACAATTCCAGCTCTTATGGCTTCAGATGGCACAGTGCCCTCTGCTCGAACTCTTTGGAGAGGGAAATACTCCAGCTTACCGTCAGAGTTTCATTTGCAAGCTTTACTTTACCTTAGTCTTATTTTAAAAATTTCAAAGCTTTGCCTCCACAAATCAGGTTAAACTGTACATTACAAGGGAACTGCTTGACCTTGAAGCAATCCTTTTTGAGGCAGAGGTGACGAAGGGGTTGGCAGGCAGGATTTATTGTGCTCTGAGGAATGCAGAGGGAACACATGAACATAAATATACAGAGAAACAGGAGCGGGAATCGCAGATGGATCTGGCAGATAAGATTTGGGCCTGTATCTATAAGTAGGTCAAAAGTGTGATGGTATCATCTCCAATGGAAATACAATTCAAAATCTGGTTTGGATGGTATATGATGCCAGACAAGCTTCATTGGACATATGAAACATTATCTCCATTATTCTGGTAAGACTGCAGAGTAAGTAGGATAGTCAACATATATTATAGGCTTGAGAAACTTGGAGCAAAATATATAAGGTAACTGGAAATATAGCACAGAAAACCCTCCCACTGAACAGTGCCAAAACTATGTGGGGCTGTGTGATAAAGGACTTGAAGAGCTGCTCACTAAAGCCAGTAGCAGCAGAAGGAGGCTGGTAGTAGAGTTATTTGTCCATTTAAGAATACATGGACCTGACAAGTATGAGCTGACTCCGCTGGTTCTTTTCCACAAAGCAAGAGGAATAAAAGAAAAGCAGAAAGGTTGGGTGTTCTTAACAGGTAGTCCAGGCCCTTGCAAAAAGGTGAGAGTCTCCTTTTCAAGGGTGAGTGGGAGATGTGTTCGTATGCACATTTAGGCAAACAACCTGTGTTTGCTGGATTTGATTTTCCAGTGCATTCCCTAAAGTGATTATCTGACATTACTGTGATCAAGTCTTTTAGCACTCTAGCACTTTTCTTACTAGGACAAATGCAGTGAAAGTCAGAATCCTTTACTATTATTATTATTGTTATTATTGTTGTTGTTGTTGTTGTTATAATTATTATATTATTTTCTTCCTTTTTTAATAACCTGTTGCCAGGTAGAAACCCCAAGCAAGCCCTCCCCATTTCTAGTCTAATTCTTCCCCCTGAGCTAGCTGCCCATCTCTGCCTTCTGTGACTCTCTGATCTCTCTTTGGTCTACAACTCTGTCATCCTTCTTTCAAGGTCTTCAAGGTTTCAGCTGGTCCAGACAGAAAGGGAAAAAATCGTGCTGAAAACATTGAAAGAGAGAAGTAACGGAGAGAAATGAAAGGAGATAAGTAGGCTTGGGAAAAAGAGACAGAACAAGCACAGCTGAAGAGTCAGAATAGACTACATATTTATTTTCTTTAAAAAGGTAAGTGGTTGTGTTTTGAAAAGCTCCTGCTGTTGTTCTTTCCAGCAGTAAAACCTTTTGTTTGATTTTTTTTTTTTTTTCTCATTTTCCTGACTCTTTTTTCCTTTCCCTCACTCTGCATTAAAGGTTTAGGATGTGACCTTTCAGAACATGGTTGTTGGATTTTGGGGTCCTTGGATGATAGTGGCTTATTATGTACATATTTGCATAATGAGTTAATTAGGCATAATATGTGGTTAAAATTAACTACACTGCACTCTTTTTATAGGAAGTCAGCACAGTTTTCTGCCAAAGTATCTCCTTAGACATCCTCTTGGGGGCCTGTTAGGATTCCCTGCCCACTTTCAGATGTCACTGACTTCTGGTGATTAATTTGTGATCTCTGATACATTATATATGCAGAGTATACATATAACCACCCTACTGTGGAATTTTAGGATTATGTAACAACATCAGTTTATATTATTAAAAAAGAGGGGAAGATAAATTCATTTTTATAATAAAGAATTTGATGATGTGATTAAAATTCATCCAAAATATGCATAAATAATAATAATAAAATCCATCTTTGTTTTTAGTGGTGCACTACATATAATGTCCATTTGGCTCCTGTGATAGGTATGTTTCCTGTCCTTCCTGATTGGAGAAGCAATGCACCTGTGAGTTGCAGCCAAGCTCATGAAGTGTTTTCTTACAGGTATGTCCAATTTGTGATGTCTATAAACCTGTATAATGCCCATCACTGTGGATCTGTGCTCCTCAAGGTGCTCCATGTTGACCCTCTTAGGTCTCCCCATCCATGCTGAGGCTGATTCTGGTTCATGGGATAAGGCAGGACACAAGTTATTGTCTATTCTTTAATACTGTCTCTGTTCTTTGAAGTTGGCCATGCTTTGAGCAGAAGGTTGAGCCACAGACCTCTGGAGGTCCCTTCACACCTCAGTTATTCTGCAACTCAATGGTTATTTGTCCAGTGACATGACATCATTAAGTATTGATGCACTTGCCATTTCAGCAACCATTGATCAGAACTAGGAAGCAGACCTAGCTTCTCTGAAGCAGAGCTAAAGCTCTTATATTGCAGTTCCATTTATGTGTGATGATCTATTTTCTCTTAAAGGACAATCTAGAACAGCAGATTCTGTTGCCCTTTCGCATGTTCAGGCTTACTCTGCATTTATTATGGAATAAGACATATTCCACTGTCTCTCCCATGGCATTGAATTTCCAGTGTTCTGTGTGCCAGGACTTTACATTACATTCACCTGCTATTATATTGCCTGCTCCAGGTGATGTAAGAAGAGCTCTGAGTAAAAGGAAATAACTTTAGCAGTGTGTCCCTTCCTGTTCCTGATCATACACCTGGCTAATTTCCTACCACCTCTTTCTCCCACAGGCATCTAAAGCTCTTCTTGAAAGCACTGGCCACTGCCCAAGACAGGATGCTATACTAGATGGAGTGGCAGCCTAATACATTTAAACAAGATTTAGGTAAGAATTGAATCCAAAGTAGAATTTAGAAAGCAGCCCTAAAGGCATGATTGTTATTTTTTCTCTATTAAAATCCAGAAAAAGAAAATCTGCTTTTAGTTAATTCTCAGTGTTCAATGTTTTACACAGCAGGAGAAATAAATGACTAGTAACCAATGTCTGTATGTGCCACAGAGGGACACAAACACAACTCTATATGTTTATTTATACAATAACTGCTTTCCACAGGCCACTCTCTGGCCTCAGAAGCAAAGGTGGATGAATCATGTTCTTTCAACACAGTGAAATAATTGAAAAAATATAAATTGGATTTTTTTTTCCCAAACAATATATCACTATAATTATTAGCCCCAAATCTGGAACATATGTGCATCTTCTGAATGAAATCAAGCAGACAAAAGCACTGGTCATGGAACAATAATGTGTAGTTGCATAAAAATTAAGTATTTGCCATCCACTTTTTAAAAAGCTGTTGTTGACTTTGTAAGCATGCTGACTTCGCATCACAGGACCTCTATGGGCAGGTTTAAAGGTGTGGTCATTGAGCTGCAGTTAGCTCTTTAGAGAAGCATAGAAAAAATCATGAGTGGGACAGGGTGAGATAAAATATCAGATCAATCTGCAATGGCTCTGAGAAAGACTAGTAATATGGATGATTTTTATATGTCTGTTATATGTTTAATACAGTGTTCAAGCTTTTACTCAACAATTTCTGATGGGTGGGTCTGGGGGATTAGGAGGTTCTTTCCAAAGAATGTTATGGCTACTGGATAAGGCAAAGATTTTCCATTTTTCTATGTGAAAAAAAGTCCAGAGATGAAAAGGATGTGTAAGAGGTGAATAAATGAGTAATTCCAGCAGAATACTTTGGAGAAGAGTACTCCATGGAGTTTCTTTCCATGGAAAGCAAATGTACCGTTGGCAGGATCAGGAATTGGTTGGAAAATTTCTGACAAAAGTGTTTTTCATTAAAACGTGTTGATGGATTGAGATGGACATTTTTTGTGCAATTGCACCACTTCTGATAAAACTTCCATTGCATAAGATTTTCAAAAACAGAGTGGAAATTTTTGTCTCTTTTTTACACTGGGGTGATAGAAATCTTTTCTCCTGCTTTTCTCAGCAGGTGTGCTGTTAGAGCTCTCATCCAATTCACGTTCCTACTCTGACTAATTCCTACTTCAGGTATGAATTTCATTCTCCTGTTTCATATGTGATTAAAAGCATGTCTTCTGCTAGGATAGTTCCATGTTTCACTTCAAAAAAAGGGAAAGAAAAGAGGTCTATAGCTCAGTGCCTGTGCAGTTAGTGGTGATTTTGATTCCTTATTCTCCTGTTTCCTAGTTACTATTATTATCATAGAAACCTAGGAGATTTCTGGTTTATCTCAGATATTTGTACTGGGCAGGGATTTTTTTATTTTTTTTTCTATTAACATTTGAAGAAGTTCCAAAGATGCATTGATTGAACAGGATGTCCCAGTGTCCTTTCCTCAACCCTCTATATAAAAGCATAATTACTCAAGAAAGCCTCTCTATCCCCCTAGATAAAAGAATGGAAAGTGAATCTTTTAATAATATGGGTCTGGGTACACACATGCTTCCCTACGGTTATGTGAATCTGTTCAGAAAATTGTGTGCTTGAGAGAGATGGAGGTGTAGTGTAGTCAACTGCATCACAGGGAGATAACCCCTAAGAGACATTTATGAAGGAAAAAACTGTGAGTAAGAAAAGCAGTTTTGCAGGAATCAACATGGAAACAGAGCCTGCTATAATCATTCTGAAAGGGACAGATGTTGGCGTTCCACCCTCAGCTTGTCTGGCCTATTATGTCTCTGAATGCTGAAGCTCACAATGTTTTTTTTTCCCTCCAATTTCAAAAGTGTCAGACGGGAGACAGTGCCAGTGAAATACCTTATACCGATCTCTTGTTAGCTAACTGCGGTGTTTTGTTCCACGGTTACATGTCTGCACAAGCCGTCATTGTGTCAGTCATAATTACCACCTGTTCAGTGGCTCCCTTCAGGTTTCATCACCTTTGCAGTATTAAGCAGCCAGATGCAGGAAGCAGAGTTGGCTGCCCTGGAGCAGCAACCGTCAGGTTCAGGATTTCAGGGGATAATTGCTGCCTGAGCACAAACATCTCCCTCCTCCCTGCATAAAACACCCAATCCACTCCTTTCTTTGGCAGAGATCAGAGCCCCATCAAACGCACTTTTTGCCCAGCATAGGAAGATAGACCCTGACTTCTGTAGGGGCAACTCAGTATGGGCTAGATGGGGGGCTGTGAAACTGCATGCCACCATGTGTCACCACATGAAAATGTGACCCAGGACTCCTTATTGGAAAGAGGCTACACTTTTCCTGTAAATCCCCTTTTGTCTCCTTTGTAGAAGGTATCAGCTGCTTTTGGTGTGGACATCTAGCATCCTAGGAATCTCCTGCACTTGGGGACTACTTCTGAGTAAATCTTAGGAGTATCCCTATCTAATCATGCCTCAGCCTTCAAGAGCTATGCTGTGGTGGAGGGACAGATAGATGAGTCCCTGTTGGGGCCAGTCAGGTAAAAAGAAATGGAAATGCAAAAGTGGCAGGCAGTTGAAGAGCATTCCTATCAGGATAGTGTGTGGTTTCAAATGCCAGTTGCCTTTCCTCTCTTCCCATCCCCTGTTTACCCTGTTTTATAAATTCAGCTTTGGCTGCATGACCCAGACCAGCAGGCCTGCCAACAATCATGTTGCATTTTGTTAACTGCTTATGACTTCTGGACAGTGTGCTGCTGTGATTGTCACACAGTTTCACTTAAACATATGGCACATGGAGACACAAATTGCTCCAGCATGCAGCTTTCCATGATAGATTTTTACATACCAATTGCAGATGCTGTTTGAGGATGCTGAGATTGGCGTGGTCTAATCCTGGAAGCAGTGAAAATTCTCTGTTCTGAGAAGTACCTGGCATGCTGGGTTTCTTAGGCTCAATTAGTAAAGCCAAAGATGCTCTCAGACTTTTCCCAATCCAACAGAAATGCTACCAAGCTGGGGTAAGTATGTGTATCATGTCAGAAAGACAAGAATGACAACAAAAGCTTTAAAATAGCGGGAATAAAAAGTGTTGAGAGGCTAACTGAGGAGAAAAGAAGCTATTTCATTTGTATCAGAAATAAGGAGATAGTTAGAGGTTCAGAATTTTGTCATTCTGTCATTATACTGGGATGTCTGAAGTATATTTACCAATACAACATATTTGGGTGGGAAATTTTCCAAGGTCCTTCTCTTATAGGAGGTATCCTGAGATAACTTTACAAGAAGAAAACAATCAACTATCGAATATTAAAGCTAAACAATCAACATAAAAGATTTCATACTGCTGTAAATGTTCCTTCTCTCATTTACATGTTGAGCAGGACAAGCATGAGGAATGTCTTTCACTTTCTCACAGACAAAGATTTTAAGGGATTTACATGAGTTTCTTGCCACTAAACTCTGAATTGTCATCCACTGTTGACAAGTTCTGAGTAAAAGGAATTACTTAATGGTCATTGTTAATGCTTTTGATGACGCAGAACATGGCACAAATTTGAAGGAGGGAAAACCTGGAGGAGAAACAGATTCTAATTTTGTGCAGACATATTGTACTCTTCAAACTCACATATTTTCTACCAGATTTGCTGGATTTGAAAATATGCAAGAAATATGGTAATAAAAAATATGCAACTTCACCAAACTCTAATAAAGAAGAGTTAATCATGGATCTTAAAGCAGAAAGTTTGAGCAGCTGTTACATTTCACCAACTGCCACTTGCAATACTGTTTCATACTGCTAAACTTCACTGGAGTGAGTTAGCATGTGTAACATTAATTTTGGATCCACTGGAAGCTAGGTTGTGGGAAATCTCTAAAATCTCTTGACATTTTAAGCTTTTGAAGTGCTGTGATCCACCAGGATGTGATGTTACATGGGTAGGGGTATATACGTATAGTCAACAGTGGCACCACTCTTCATTTTCCTTGGTCTCTTGACCTGTCTTCAGTCCTGAATCTCACTCATTTCCTTACTCTATATTCCTCACTATCTCTTTCACAAATCCTTTGAAACAAACGTAGTTTCATTTACTAATGTGACTGCAAAGAACTGTTCCTATATAAAGTTACTTCTTCACAGCTGGCTCTTCTTCTTCCAGCCATCCCCTGCAAGTACAGTGTTACCCTAGTCTCATTTTAATTCCAGCTTTGGAACAAGCTGCGAGCTTGTTCATGAGTGTTATTTCACTTAGGAAGTTATTATACTAGAGTAGGAATTGACTCAATACAGCGATAGAAATGGAATGGACTGGAAAAGAAGAAATTAGTGACTAACAATTGCTAAGATGTCCTACTGATCTAAGTAGATTTCATAGCTGAAAAGCCTCGAGATAAGTATGGACCAGAATCCCAACTGTGAGTGTTCTCTATCTGTAGGAAAGCTCAATCTGAATCAGAACTTAGCTGTTCTTTTCTTGAAATATTATCAAAACCACTCAATGAGACTAGTACATATGAAATGTTTGTAGTGTACAATGCTCCTATCATGGGACAGTAGGAAACTGTAATTGAATATTTCCAAGGACCTTCTTCCTACTAGTTAACCTGGAGTATGCTGTATACATACAAAGAATTTTTCTAAGCATTTTTAACTTGCTTTTACCAAGAACTCTGTTAGAAGGTCCAGGATGGCTCTGAATGAACAGGAATTGTTTGGAAACAGCTGGATATTAGTGAGCCAAACCAAACCTGGACGCTGTGGGCTTGACTGTATGACATGCCTGTGTTTTCATTGAAATCTCACCAGGACGCTGTGTCAGACAAATGTGTTCCTGGAGTACAGGTGGCAGGAAAGGCTTGGCCATATGGAGAAGCATTGCTCTTTCTGCCTGCCAAAAGCTGTGCTAGATGCCCCACAAAACAGAAAGAGGATTTGCTGTGGCCTAAGGGACTTGTTAACTCCATTGGACATAACATGATGGCAAAAATATTTTCCTCCATTAGAAACAGTAGAAAAAAGGTGGTGTTAGGAAAATAGTGGTCAGTATTAAGTGAATAATGCAGTTACATAAGGAAAGAGCTATAGGAAAGCCTTGGCCTTACCAGTATTGTGGCAAAAATAAAGTAAGAACTTGTCACAGAACCTCTGTCCCCTCTGTTCTCTCTAAGCATATCAGTAGCGAGATCATGCGTATTGTAACTCTTACCAGAAGTTATATGATTCTCTCACTTTTGAGTTGGTCTCTGGCCTATGATGCCCTCTGTGTCACTCAGAGTTACGCAGTAACTGAGTGAATTTGTATCTCAGGCACAGCAATGAAGATAGTGACCTGCCAGCTTTTCACTTCTACCCCCAATCTAAGAGGGATTTATTTCCTGATAACAGTGTAAAATTTGGAGAAAATGGAGTTTAAGACTTTAGTTTTTGGATACCACCCTTATCCTAAACTCAACTGTATTCCAAAGATAGCCTGAATAGGTAGACCTGCCCCAGACATCCCTCATGCTGTACCACTGCACAGGAGTAACTTTTGTCAGATGGATATAATCCATTTAAAAATCTTTCAGGATAGTTGGCAGGACTTCCCTGTTTGGTCAAAACTGCCTGAGTGGCTGAAGGGAAGGTGGGATAACACTCCCAGAGACTGTGATTATGCTGTTTCCTCATACCTATCCCAGTGCCCTCAGGGCAGGTGGCTTGCCAGGAACAGACAAGAATGCCTCACAGCTACTCCAAGTAGGTGTTAAGGTTTTTTCAAATTGCCAGAGGTATTCAGTTCATTGCTGCTTAGGCTCCAAACTGAATGAGTTGGCTTGGCCTGAGAACTGCTGTTCTTCAAAAAAAATGTATTCACTGCTGCTATGACCAAACTGGTGAGCTATGCTGGCACATGTACAAGCACTATGAGCTTTGGTATCAGTTACTGCTGTAGCACCTCAAGAGGTCATGCAGACAGGGACCACTACACCTAAGCTGACCTTGAAAGACATTTGTGCAGCCTGTTCATAAGAGTCACCAGGAGCAGAGATTTCACATCCCCTTCAGCAATTGATTTTTGTGCTAACCTCTCTCTACCAGTTCCCTGAGGTATTTTAAAATGCTTAATCTAAATCCTTAAGCCAATAATAGCTACATGGAGAGAATCCAAAAATAGCACTGAC